TATATATATATATATATATATATATATATATATAGCATTACCATATATGTTACATGCATGATCATGTCATGCATGAGCAACTTCATCTTCATCAGACCCGGTAACACACTCCTTCTCATCCTCGACGAATCCTTCAAGAGAAGGATGTGGGGAGTGACCTTTTCCAAAGGATCTAATATGGTCTTTAAGGGATCTTTTGTGCTTGAAGTCTGAGCCACAAGTGCAATACCACAACTTTCCACAGTTCTTCTCGTGAGTCCTCCAATCCCCTTTAACTGCAAAGGTTTTTGAACACTTTCGGCACATGAATGGTTTTGCACCATGCTTTCTTTTGTAGTGGGTTTGGAGCGTTCTGAAGTCCTTCAAGGGCTTTGCTCTTGGATGGTTGATGTTGTTCTTGCAACCCTGGGCACAACAGTAACATGGTAGCCTCAGCATTGCAGCTGGTTGTGTTCCTTTAAGTGAGTCTGGTCCTTTCCTGAATTCGGACCCGTGACCCCACATGTGCATCTGCAAGTTGTTCAGGTTTGTTTAAGTTTTTTCCTTTTCTTGCTTTTTTTTCTTTTCCTTCATCACAAGCAAAACAATGACAAAAGTACATTACATTTTTTTTCTTCTAAAAATTATTAAATAACGGTTTGCCAGCCAATCACTACAAGCAAAATGTCTTGTATTAAAGAATGTCTTGTTTTTATAGACACAAGGAGGACGGTGGGTAAAAGTAAAAATCAACCTTATAAATATTTAGTGTAAGTTAAAGCTTAGTATACTTGTTTGTATAGTTATGTATTATAAATAAATTTTAATTAGTCATTGTTTTTACAATTCTTATAATTGACAAATAAATCATCTACGGGTTAATATATAATTGATATTTATCTATGATTTTTTAACTTTTGATAATAATTTTTGTCTATTATTATAAGTCAATTTTTTTAGTGAATTTTTATAATGACATTTAAATTTTTAAAATTATGAGAAAAATTGATAATACTTAACTATGTTGTGTGTAAATTATTAATTGAGACATGATGGTTTTAAACCATAGGGAAAGGTAATAAATGTAACAAATATGATAAATGATTTAATAGAAAATGTTGAAAGAAATAAGAAGAAAAATATAATAGAAGTAAGGTTAAGAAAAAGTAAATTTCATTAAAAGATTATAAGGCTACTCTAAACCATATACATAAGTTTTTGTTTTACATGTTCATTTGTAATTGATCCCATTAAAAGGTTACAAGGCTATTCTAATCCATATTGATAAATTAAAGAGTTAGACGCAAGTGATTAATGTGTTGAATCTAAAGTTGAATTATTTGAACAATGTTCAAATTTAATTTTTGACAAAAATAATATTTAATAAGACTTTACTTATTTTTCAACTAAACCAGATCAATTTAAGATAAAATCTTTAAACATTGATAATAAAAAAAATCCATCCTCATAAGTTTATTTTACATTTTCATTTGTAATCAATCCCAAACTTGTTAATCCTTAATCCTGCTTATGTGGGATCCAAATAAACTGTACGTATACCCGTTTTGTGCATATTCTTTTACTGCCTATTTGATTAAAAGCTACATGTAAATAAAAAACTAAAAAATCAAAAAAGAAAATACTTCTTTCTAATTATCACATATATGTTACTTTATATTTTGAAAGACAAAAAACGGAGAACAAATGATTTCCACCCACTTATAACCAACCAATGTTGGCCTTTATACGGACCAGCAGTGATCATTGTCGTTAATTAATTGTTAATCAAACTCATTTTTTAATTAAAGGAATAAAAAAGGAAAGGAGATAAGTAATTTTAGTAATCTAATTAATAGCTACTCATAATGCCGCTTAAGAGTGGGAGATTGTGTGCTTCCTCTCCTATATGATATAGAAATTTTTTTCCAAGGCACAGTTCTTATTCAAAAGAATTTGCTATAAGGCAGATCTTGCGCTATATATTGCATGCCGTTAAACACCGATTATTAGCATGCTAATTGTATTCTGATGTGGTTTTCGACCCAAATGGCAAAACTCATGGAAAGAAAAAAAAAAAAAAAAGAGATTAAAAAGAAAAGCATGAAGACATGGAAGTGCAATTTTGCTTTGAAATCCTATGGTATTAAAGGAGCCTTTTGCTAAAAGTTGAAGGGGGTGGTGATAGCGGGGCAACAGGCTATCTTGCTAAAATTTCTTAAAGTGAAAAAGAAAGCAAAAGAAAAAGACAGTCATTAAGAGTCATGTTTATATAGCCATTAAAGTTCATTTAAATTAATTATAATGATTGTTTTCTTCTTGATGATTATCTTCGTCTTCATCATCATCATCATGTAAAACACTTAGTTCAGGTTGGCTTGCATAAAGAAATTCAAATTCTGAGTAGAGATTCCCTTAATTAATTTGGACACAGATATTTATCATTAGTAACAATAGATATAGAGGATTATATTATCAAATTAAACTGATTGTAACAAACACAAGCGGCGCTGTATTATTCATATATATTTCATAGTTTGTTAATAAGTATAAATTTTTTGAAATGAAGTGACAATATGTGTAAGAAACATATGTATGTACTCATATACCAATTGCGATAGATCGAATTGCCTGATCAAAGAAACAAAGAAATTAATTTGTCATGAAACCTATCCCCATTCCCCAGAATGTCTAATGCTGTAATTCTGAAACTGGTACCTATACAACTTTCAATTTCGTTATTATTATTATAGTAAATCTCAAACTGTACAACGTTTCAAAGGAGCTAACATACAAATAATACAAAAACTAAGATTCCATTTCCCAAACTTACTGTATTGAACAGATGTTAGATTCTATTTTGTTAATGGCACATATTTAGAGATGAAATTGAAGTGTGAACTATCTAATAGGTTATGCGAATTATATGAAAATCATGCACGATTTTCTTTTCGAGCAATAATGAGACTCTTAATTATCAGTTCCCCCCCCCCCCC